AAAAAAAAAAAAAAAAAAAAAACGATTAATCGATTATTAAATTAGTCATCGATTAATCGATTAATTGTGGCAGCCCTAGATCCCAGAGGGAAATTTGGTAATGGAAAATGGTGGTTGGATTAGCTGACATCGTCACTTCAACACCAATCAGGTTGATGAAAAATGGATCTACAGCAGGTAAAATGCTTACTCTTCATAAACTTAAACTTGTAAAAGGAACTTTGATACAAGATTTAAAGATAGTTAATAACTGATAGATTACATTTTTTTATTTATTTAATTTTCAGTTTTTTAAACTGACAGGAAGATAGTTTTGTTCACAGTGACTCAGACACATTTTTGTTAAAGTCAGTGTTTTATAACAAAAACTCGTACAAGAGACCTTCTTTTTGGATTTATTAAGTTGTTTTCATACACCCAAACTGATCAGCCCATCACTCGTAACGCTGTTTTACATCATTAGAAATCACTGAGCTGTAAGAGGGACCAGTGGTCCGGTTAATGATGCTCCACGCCCAGAACCGAAGGTCCGCAAACCCAATACAGTCCATCATATAAAACCAAAGGGCATTTATCAATAATTAAAACATGATCAACACTGTGCAATGCAATAAAGTTCCTTTCAAACACGACCATGGACCTTTCGTCTTTTTTTTTTCTTGGAAAAAATAAAATAAAAATAACAAGACACCAGAGAGGGATTTTGTTAAAGACACTACATTTACCTAAAAAGACACCACCGTTTGTGACCAGCATGAAAATAAATGTGAGAATTATTATTAATAATAATAATAATAAAAAGCAGATGAGTGTTGAACTGTACAGTTGTTCGAAATCTCTAAATAAATTTCCAGATGAGCTCAGAGTGAAGGAAGGAGACGTCAGAGTTTACCTTTACAGCCGGTGGAAACACCAGTTTATGTTCCTGTTGGTGAATTAATTAGTAAAAATGCTCCATGAATCGAACAATCCTCACATCTGGACACAAACGAACATCCAGTTCTACTGGAGAAACGCAGAAAAAAAAAAACTAAGATTTAGTTTTAATAGTTTGAAGATGTTTTTCCTTGTCATCGAGGAGCTTGGATGCAGATTAGTCTCTCTTCCCTCTCTCCTGAGGGTCATAAGGGTCTCAGGTCAGGTTTTGATCAGATTCGAAACTGGATTTAAAATCCTGGAATCCTCCTCAAATCTGCGTTTGATTGGTTCTTTGGGTTTTCCCATTTCAAAATAAAGTTGTAAATTTTCCAGTTGTAAAATCTAAACGTACAACAGTAAAATTAAACCAATTAAAAATCAAGTGTTTGATTTTTTCTTCAGCTAAACCGAAAATATAAGATTGCTGTTTTAAAATGTAGCGAATTTGCCAAAGAAGAAGAGGTTAAAGTGTCTGGAAGACTAAAACTATTCCTAAATTTGTTGGCAACAGCTGAACTCCAACCTTATTCTGCAGAACTTAAATCTTAAAACAATAAGCCTTGTGTAGTTACGTTAGCGTAGCCTAGCTCCTCAGGTTAACCCAGATAATGCTCAGGTTGGAATTTAGCAAATTCAACAATCTCAAAAAACAGTTTTATAAACTAACGTATTTATCTGTGATCCTAAAGGAAAGTTTAACATACCAGCCGGTCGAGGCAGATGGTCTCCTGTCCTGAGCCTGGTTCTGCTGGAGGTTTCTTCCTGATTAGCAGGGAGTTTTTCCTCTCCACCGTTTGCTCAGGATGGGAGACTGTGATGAAGTGATTCAACACAATCTGCTGCTTTCTTCTTTATTGTTTTTGTGTACAGTGCCCTGAGACAACGTATGTTGTGACTTGGCGCTATATAAATAAACTGAACTTGAACTTAACTTCAACCTCAGCCTGCTTTACGCATTTGTAACGATTTTTAACTAGCTCAGCTCTGAGACGCGTTTTCTCGCTCTAAATAAGAAACATATCCGTGGTGAGCATTAAATATAACTTTTATCTTTGCTTTAAACACAAAAATTTAAAAAATGTGGTATTTCATTTGTGAAATTGTTGTTTTTCTTAATTAGTTTTAAAACAAAAGAACTAAAAAATATTTGTTATTTTTTTCTCGTTTTATTTTGAAAGGGAAAAACCAAAATACGAACCGTACAGATTCTCCTCCTCTGAAGGTTTTGGCTTCTCTTTTCTCAAATCGTTTATCGTCTCCGTCCAGAACTTGTCCTCAGAGACGAGTCTGGACCTGAAGAACTGTCCAACGCAGATTCAGGTAAACCCTCAGAGACCTGAAGACCCGGGTCGAGCTGACGGGAGTCGCTCTGAGGCGGGACGATGGAAAAAATAACAAAACGTAAAACTTTTCCTGTATTAGTCATGGACAGAACTCAGCAGAACTGCACCTGGATTTGGGTCTCGTTTGAGTGGAAGGACTGGACTCAGGTCGTCGGATCACCTGAATCACCAGAGAATTAAAGATTTTAGGTTTTTAAGGACTTCTAAACAAAACAAAACCGTCTCGTCTGCTGCTGGTCCTGGTCGGGATGAAGAAGAAACCGGTCCAGATCAGGGATCTCAGGACCAGTCATGATCCAGACCTCCTCACAGGTGAGGGTTGGGACGTAGTTGGACCAGGAAATGCAGAGTGTTAAGTTTCCACTCGGCTCTTTCTTCACCACGAAGGACCGGAGCAACATCTGCTCCCTCCTGCATCGCTTCAGATCCAGACTCCCAGGTTCCTGACCAGGTTCTTAACCCTCCACTCGAGGCAGAGACTCGTCCCGGTCCTGATTCTCCATCAAACCTGGATGTTTTCTCGCAGAGAAGCGAGGCAGAGGCAGTGAGGCGGGCAGAGTCCTGGGTCTGGACCAGATCGGTCCGGTCCTTGGGTGTCTCTCTGCTCGTCCTGAAACAGGGTTAGTCTTCAAACTGAACAGAAGCTAAAAGGTGTTGTAGTGATACATGCATCTGTTATACTGACGTAAATTCTTTAAAAAAGTTAAAAAAAAAACCCCAAAAAAACAAACAACAACAAAAACCAAAGTTATTAGAAATGCAGCTATACAGAGTCTGTTCGCTATTCCAGGGAGGTGAGAGGGCCGAGAGCGGCTCTGAGGTCTGGAGACCACAGAACCCCATGTCCAGGTGTTGGGTTGAGAGGAGGAGGAGGAGTGAAGAGGAAGAGCTGGGTTAGTTACTGCAGCAGGGGCGGCTGCTGGGCTGAGCCGTCTCCGTCAGGTCCACTCCCCGGTTCCGCCCGCCGCTGCTCCCGGCCGCCTGAGGCTCGTTCTTAGGAAGCTTCTTGGCTGCAGCGACGACACAGAGTCAGAAACAAAAGCAAACGTTTTATTATTTCAAAATTAATTCAGAGTAAACATTTTATCTCACTGATCCCGGAACAAACTGAACATTTTGATTCTTTTACAGATTATATGAATAAAATCTGCTTCTGAGGCTGGAATTAACCTGTAAAAATAATATTTAAAACTTTTTATCACTCGTCAGATTTCTTTAAAAACTGGAAAAATGTTGATTATCTTCCACAGAACTGTGGATATTTGTTACAAATATAAATATGTCTGTTATCCTCGGGTCACATTCTCATATTATTTATTAAATTAATTGATTAAATAGAAATATCTCTGAATAAATAATGTTTAGGATTAAATCTGATCGAGTTCGTTTTAAACCAGGACGGTCTGGGTCCACATGCTGATAATATTACCTGATATGTTAAAAAAAAAGACTCACAATAAAGATATAAAATATTTTGATGAAACTTGGCCCAACAAGTTTCTGTTGAAGTTAACTTGAAATAAATATAAAAAAGGTAAAAAAGATGGACAAAAGAAACACTGAGTCAAATGTCACAAATCTGATGGCAGCAATA